ACACACCAAACACGTCGTTCTTCATAATCATCAAACAGATCACGATTGATAAATTCATAAATCATTGAACTTAAAATAAAAAATGGTAAAAGAAAAATAATCCATCGTGCAATACATCGACTTTTTTTCTTATTAAAATTAGTTCCTTGAAAAACTGCCATTGCTCTATCAATACCTACACAAGTATTAAGCCAATTACTCATATGTAGAAAAAAACGAAGCATTGGTTCAAATAATAAACATCCAATTTGAAGAATTTTTCGATTAATCGATGGATTTATATATGTATATGTTACAAACCAAAATCTAATGATTAACATACTAACAACAAGTGTAGAAATAACTGATGATAATCGAAGATAAATTCCCGAAGCAACTTTTCGACAATTACGATTATGAAAAACTAAATAACCAAAAAAACTATTCAATAAACCAATTAGGAAAATAATTATCGTAGAAGCTGCACTTAATTTAACTGTCAATGATTGATCATTTAATGTACTATTAGGTCGAATCTCATAACGTAATAAATCATCTAATGTTAATCCAATACCCTTAGCATAAAATTGACATCGATCACCAAAGAAACAATCGTTACATACACATAGAATATTAAGAAAACATACACGTCGATCTTGTAGACATGTTCCACCATTCTCACAATAAACATTATCTTCACAGGCAAAAGTCTGTTGATGTTCCAATGGAAAACAATTACTATGACGTTCCTCTGTACACAAACACATGTAGAATTCATCGACAAAACATTGTAGATTAAAATTATGTTGGCATGGTATATGATAACTTTTCAATCGTTGAATTCGTGGCAATGAGAATAATTCAATAGGCAAAAGTTCATGAATTGGAACACATCGTTGGGCAGGTCTGATCGAGGTTACTATGTTGGATGATACAAGTTTTCGACGTAATACAGCCAAATAATAACGATTATCAATCTTGACAATAACCATTCGAAACTGCGCTTGAGAGTACAAGGTGACATTAGTTTGAAACATAGTCATTTTTCTGAGTATAACAAATCTTGGTGGTAATCGCTCAAAACTAATCTCAGTGTAAATATAGACGAGTAAATACAATGGAGTTTCAATATTTTTAAGGGAAATATCTAATTTATGGTTAACATTTTGGCATCTTGTCCCAGAAAATTGTTCAGAACAAAAGCATATATAACTTTTATCAATCATTCTCTCATCGATTACTATACAACGACCATTATTTTTGCAGATCCCTATTGGACATACTAGTTGAAGACGACAAGAGGAACCGAATTTTCCATGAGGACAAACACAGATTGATCGATTTTGAATCGAACCAACGCAAATCGAATTTGATGCACACGTGCTACAATCTATTGGAATGTGACATTGTGCACCGGACCAACCTGAATAACATTGACACAAGAATCGTTCTTCATTATGATATTTCATACAAGTACCTTTATAACATTGCAGAGGACAATGTTTAGGATTGAATGTTCGAGAAATCGGTAGAGTTAAAAAAGCACTTATCCGATTAACGGGTAAAAAGACGAATGGAATCGTTAAGTGCCAACTTATTAGATATGTCAATGAATCTTTATTGAATACATCGATACGAATACTGTAGTTTTTTAAATTATCCTTTCTACGTTTTGAATATAACAGATAAAAATTCACAAGTTTACCACAATATGTCACTGGTACATAAGTGAATTGATGATATGAATGAATTTCTTGTCGATCGTTGTCATCTTCTATCAACGTAACAACAATAGCATAAATAATTGATTGTTCAACAGTTGCCAATGTTAAGGTAAGACTGACACGTTGATTTTGATATTGACATCGATCACCATAATAATTCGGCGGGCAAAAACATAAACTACTGTAATTATTGACTCCAAGTCGATAGTAAACGTATAAACCAGAATTACAGATTTCAGGCTGTGAAAAACTCTTGACTAATGGCGATCCTATTATTTTATCATCAGTTGGATTTTCAGTAGGATTACTCTGAATCGTATATATTGGCGGATAGATTAATACAGTGTCTAATGAAAAATATATATCACGTATATTAATGACCTGACATGAAATATACTGCATATCGATAAGATTGTCAAAATCAGAATCATGACATAGTTGTGGATGATTATCACAAAATAGTTCGTTATCATACATTGGACAATCTTCGTTTTCATTGCAAAGATTCTCTTGTTCTTTACATTTTGTGTCATTCCAACAACGAAATCTATATGTTTGAAAAGTAGTATTGTTCACTTGGTGATTTTGAAATTTATCGAAGGATGCTCCAAAACAATTGACGGTTCCATTAGTGACTTGATCGGCTGGTAAACACATGAATGTATAATTTTGTGGCGAAATACAGAAAAGGATATGCTCTATATCAATGGGTTGCGTGCAATTTTTTTCATCTTCACCATTCACACAGTTTCGAAAGCCATCACAACGTGTGTAGATATTATTGCATTGCCAGTAGTCACATTCAGTTTCATCGGAATGATTTCGTCCATCAATCAGCACTATAGGTAAATCCATGATTCGATCACATATTTTATAAAATGGAATATCATCATGATTTATCTGTATTGGAAAAGAGCAGATGCTTGTTGGGAAAAAGCGTGATCGACACTGTTTCTCGTTTGGACATTGATATTGAGAGGTTTGATTCAACGAACAACTTAATTCAGATAATGCTTGCTCATCGTCTTTCAAGAAACAATCTGATATGCCGTCAAAAATTCGATGTTTAGAAATATATTTCGACGAATTCTTACAATGATATAACGATGAATGATGAGAATCGATGCTATGATAATGTTGAGTTATACAACCATCAAAGTATGGCTTAATTGAATCGATAATTGATTTCCAAGTAGTCAATTCAGCATTCGTCGTAAGATTCATTTGATCACCAGAACGACAAGTCAAGTTTTCATGGCAAAATGTGGGTGTGAGAAAATCGCATAATTGTTCATCATAACAAACATAATCAGGTTTAAGAGGTAATGTTATATTAATATTGTCAATCTCTTTTGGATCATATAAAAATTTTACATGATCATAGAGTACAGGAATAACTGGAAACTGGAGAGGAAACTTGCAACTTTTTAATTGTTCGATGATCTCAGAAGATCGAATGAACTGATCACATAATATATTCTCAATTTTATCAATAATTTTGGTAAGACAAACCATGCTTATCCAGCATTCGTATAATAAATTTCCTTGAACACTAACCGATTGAGCCAAAGCAAGATGGCGATTATTTTGGCATCGACCATAATCTTCTACACATTGTCCATCACCACACGAAAATTTACCTGCATTAGGTGGACATATAAATTCTTGACATTCAAACAGATTCATACGGAAATAAAATCGTTCGCAGATAGTGTCAGCAAAATAATCTGATCTATCAAGACATTGTGCTTCTTCAAAATCCATTTCCAAAAAATTTTTTGGAATACACAACCCATTATGGCATCGATATTCATTTTCATTGCATTCGTTAATGTCTAAATGAAAACATTGAATTTCATCAACACCACCATTAAGACAATCAATTCGACCATCGCATATCTCACGCCAATCAAGACACATCGATGATTCACCACGATCACATTCTAAAAGAATATAACACGTTCTATTAAATATATTATCAGCTAAAGCTGTTTGAAAAGAATTTTGCACTAATTTATCTTCATTAAATTGGAATGAATATTGACATCGTGATCCAAACCATGGCTGTGTACAATTAAAGAATTTTTCATTGGATAGATTAGATTGAGTTGGTTGATCAAGATAATACTGATATTGCTCAGCAAGATTAATTGATGATGACCACATGAGAATTTCATATGATGTTACATTCAAACGGTATAATTGATCGAAAGTTAAATAATCATCAGATATATTAAAAAATTCAATCATTATCGAATTCGTATCATTTTTGGGACGAATACAATATTTGACGATGTCAGAAAAGAAAAACTTAGTTGAAAAATAATGCAAACAATCAAATCCATATTGATCGGTATCATAAAAAACTGATTGTAAGCCATGAAATATCCATAGAAAAAACATTACATGGAAAAACTTTAGCATTATTCAAATTTGGGCTTATATGATAATGATAATAATAATATAATTAAATGGAAGATTTAACATAGAGCTCTCTTAATAAATATTGACAATTGTCTGGCTGCATTGATAGCGTTTAGTATTAGGTGTATGACTTTTTCTCGATGTGACGTGCTTTGTCGCAATTATAGAAAAGTCATTTGATACTCATTTTTATTCTATTATATAGGAATTATATATTGGTATTACTAAAATAAATAATAAAATCACATATCTGAATAAATTCAGCTCAACTACGTGTAACTACTTGATTGGCTTCACTACTATAAAACTCAATTTTGTTCAACGTTAAAAAGACTTGACGCTGGACTTAGAAAAAAATTACCAGAATTTCTATATGAATTGTTCTTTATATCTATATTAAGTGATATTCTCCTTTTGTTCGTTTTATCTTCTATATATATAAAGAAGAATGTCTATTTGTTTGTCTGCTCGCTAGGGTAAATGACGCTTTGTAACACCTCGTCATTTCGAACTCCCGTAGCTGATGTCTGTTGCCAACTTTCGACAAAACAATTATTCAAAATTCTCGTCAAAGATGTCGGACTGTCAAGATTGAATTAAATAAGCAGGGTGCGGGGTGAGTGCGAATGGCTGAGTATTGGGTGTGAGGTGGATCTGAGTGGCTGGGTGTGGGTGTGTATCTTCCTTTGATCCACATCCACACCCTTAAGATGAGGGTAAGGGAGCAGGTGAAGGTGATGATGTGGGTAAGGGAGCAGGTG